AGAAAAGATTAAAAGGTGGTACCACTTAGCAGCTGGAAAATGTTAATAGCTTAGGAAGGTTTTCTGTTTTAAGCTGCTATAGATCTTGTTTTCTATAAATATTAATAACGCTTTTCTCAAGCTTACTACAAGTACCTCACAGCTCCTTTTCCAAGGCTAACATCTGCTGCTGTTTTCACAGACGCAGAGGGGCTTCTGAGAATTAAAGAGGAGAACCAGAAGCATTATCGCAGGGCCCAGCGGCATCAGGAGAAGAAAGAGAAGATCCAGAGGCATAACTGCAAGCTGGGAGACTTGGTAGAGAAAAAAACCTATGACTTGAAAACCCAGTATGAGCATCTGGCAAACCTTCGTCGGACGCATATCCTGGAGCTAACATCAGTCATATTTCCCATTGAAGAAGTAAAGACAAGCATGAGGTACAGAAGGCTTATCCTTTTGGACTCATTTTTGCTTAGCTTTAGACACCCAGAAGTGAGTCATGTAAGTCTAAGCTAGACGCTCTGGCTCCCTTAGCATCTGTGGGGAGAAGGAGGTGTTTCCCAAAGGCAAAGCGTATGACCCAAAGATAGAGGTCCAGAATAGAAGAGTCTGGAGGTGCTAGCATCTCCCCACTGAGAGATCTTGAGGTATGTGTCCAATGTTAAACTTTCTTAAAACAGATAATTAAAAATCCCTGAACAAAGGAAAGTAGTTTTGGGAATAAGGCGTTTTGCAGGAGTGTTTCTACAAGCGTTTTGTTCTCTGTGAAATCTGGCTGAGTGCCTGCCAAGTACTGATTATATTTTAAAAACTTCCTTAAAAACACTCTGTTCCTCTTTGGATGCTACAGAGATCCTGCAGATGTGTCTTCTGAGAGTGACAATGCTATGACCTCTAGCACTGTGAGCAAGCTCGCGGAAGCCAGGAGAACCACGTATCTCTCTGGGAGATGGGTGTGTGATGATCATAACGGTGACACCAGCATCAGTATCACAGGGCCTTGGATAACTCTGCCTAATAATGGAGACTATTCAGCATATTACAATTGGGTGGAAGAGAAGAAAACTACACAAGGACCAGGTAAGGAGCAAGGTCTGATTAGGCATCTGGGATACTCCAGGAGCCGTAGAACTTGCAGCCTTGGATGCCAACAGAAGGCGCCCAGGAGCAGTAGCCCGGTCCGTTTGTTCTCACCCAGGCGAACCTGAGAAATAAATACCGGTATAGGGATTAGTCCACTGAAATCTGAAATCCTCTTTTGCAGGAAATGCTCACTGGGACACAGCGCAGTGTAATAGAGAGATAAAGTTAATTATTCACAGTTTTGACATGGTTCACATGCCGTCATTTTAACAGGAATTCCAAGAATTACTATTTTCTACCGACTTCTGACAGATTTCACTGTAAATGATTGCTGGATTCAGGCTGTTCTCAATACTTACAAATGACATTTTCCAGAGTAGACTTCAGTAACACATTAACACCCCCACTGAGGCTTCATTTAAAATGAGACTTTCACGATGTTTTTATTTCTTTTAGATATGGAACATAATAACCCTGCTTATACCATCAGTGCTGCATTGTGCTATGCAACTCAGCTTGTTAACACTTTGTCTCTCATACTGGATGTGAATCTTCCCAAGAAGCTCTGCAACAGGCAAGTAAATGCAAACCTCTGAGGAGGGGAATCAGTGACCAGTTTTGACCGATCTTAATTCAGTTTGGTTTTGTGAACGAAGTCATTACTTGGAACAGCTTTTATGGTCACGGTTGATGGCTCATGGGTTTTTGTGCTGTTTAATTTTGGATGGAGGGCTAGTAGGATTTTAGCCCACAGTTAATAGTCCCTTCCTCCTTTTTTACCTCCTGAGAGTGCAGACCAACCATCATTGTTGAAAATACAGCTTTCTAATTGAGGTATTCAGCAGCATCAAATTAGAAATGAAATATGACAGTCCATGAACAGCGCTTTTCATTTTATGAGACCCTACTGAGCTTTACAAAATCTGAGCCCAATTCAGCAACTCTTGGTCATCTTGAATAGCTCCACTACATTAAGTGCTGTAGACCAAGGCCTTGTAATATGGCGTGACAGCAATGTAATTCTCTTCAGGATAAAACACCGGTGGGGAACGTACCTGGCTGGCAGAACGTCTGGGAGTGAATTGCGTAAACCCCATTTGTGATGAAAAGCACTGTTAGGTTTTTAATGTCTGTGAGGAGCAGATGGGATCTGTACAGAAGTAGTACGAAGGGAGCTGTAGACCCGGTCAGTCTTCCAGGGGTCCCAGTTATGCTGCTGAGATTCTTTTAAGTGTTTAAAATAGTGGTGGCCGAAGTGGGGGCGCGGAAGTTGTGTAGGGTCTCTGCAGTTTTTTTGTACTATTATTTGGGTGCTCAGTCTTCACAGAAGGAGAAGGTTGGGAGCAGGAAATGATGCAAGATTTAAAAGGAGAGCCGAAATAGCTTGGCTGCAGTGGATCTTTGAGTTTCATACAGTTTACATCACCTGTGCTGTTGAAATCGGTGAGACTAGGGCAAGCAGTGCTTGTTGATGAAATGCTAACAGCGAAAAATGAATCTCCTGAGCACTCTAAAACTGGCTGTACAGTTTAAACAAGTGCTCGCCGCGGGGATGTTTACTCCAGGATTTGTTAGGAAGCCAGGGCACAGGATGCTGATGTCTCCGGTGGGTGTATTTTCACAGCATTTTGCTTTGTCTATATGTGTGTGTGGTGTTTCAACAGCGAGTTCTGTGGGGAGAATCTCAGCAGACACAGGTTCACGCGGGCAGTGAAGAAGCTGAATGCTAATATCCTTCACCTTTGCTTCTCTCAGGTAGGGGGAATGCACATTTGGATTCTTTAAATAGCTTTCAAAATATCAACTGTGCCTGCAGGTTTCCTCCAGTAACTGATCATGTCTTTTTCTTACCTTCCCCATGGTAGCATGTAAATTTAGATCTGTTGCACCCACTGCATACGCTCAGGAACCTTATGTACCTGGTCAGCCCAGACACTGAGAACTTGGGCAGGTAAGAAAAGCAGTACCTCAACTCACCTGTGACTGAATCCCTTTTGAAGTTATGCATTTGCCTTGTTACTTATAAGGGAAAGCCTTCTCTTCTGCTGTACCTATAGATCAGTCCTCAGCACATCAGAAATCAGGGTAATTACAAGGAGGAGACAGGAGGGGACAGAAAAAGGGGGTCCTGAGTAGGAAATTAGATTTCAGAGAAGTGTGTATGCTGTGCTTCTGCGTATGGCAGGCTCAGCTGGAGGCTTTATAGCTGACTATGGACTTGTTTCCCCTACGCCCAGAAGCAGGAACTCCTTCCCTCCAGGGGAGAGCAGCACATACGCCAGGCAGTCTCACTGTGCTCCGAATGTGACCCTACCCACATCTTGCCAACGTGTAAATACCTCACAGCATCCAGCAATATAAACTCTAAAACGAATAGTAGGTAAAGCTTTCCCAAAAGACTTCCAGTCAATGAACACCCTAGACCAAAGCCGACAGTTCAAATAATATTAATTTCTATGTACATTAAGATTAAAGACAACTTTTACGTTAACTTAGTACGTGATGAAAAGAACATCAGTTCCTGTGGGCTGCACGCACCAGGGTTAATAATCTTCCTTCTTTTTACAACTTAAATATAAGAAAGCCAACAACATTGATTTCCTGTTGGGATAATCCAGCCACAAGTCACTTCTGCCTGAGACAGTCTGCAAATATTTGTTTAATCTGACTACTGCCTTATTCCCCCTTAAACACAGTAATGTTCTGAAATCTACTTTTCCACTTTGTTCTCATGTATAGCTCTAGTTTTATTTAAAAACCCGCAGTGCCACTGAGAGGAACTGAATGCATGCCTCTGTCCGCTTGCCTTATGTTCTTTGGGTATATCCCTACCGATTCGGCCCAAAGGTATGGGGAGCCAAATCTTTGTAACGTAGCTCAGTTTGGAAAAAATGGTGTGCTTGCTGCTGCTTGTCTGAAAACAAGGAGAGTGCAGGAAATACCCAGAGAATGAGGAACTGCATCCTGGAAAGCAGCTGCTGTAAAAGATCCAAGTGCCACAGTGGACAAAAAGCTAAGCCTGACAGATCCCCACGATGTGAAGTAAAAGGGCTGAGCAGAGAGACGGGTCTCACTCCTCTGTGCAAATGTTACAGAGCTTCACACGCATCAGTCGGGTCCATGTAGCGAAAGAAGAGGTTACAGGAAAGAGTCGGAGAAAATACCTACCAGTAAGGGGAATAGTTTAGTCTGTATAAAGCTGTCTTAGCTCGCTAGAGATGAGATTGAGAGATGACTTGATTTCCACGCCTTCGTGGGGAGAAAATACAGGCTACTGAATGGCTTTAGAGACACCATTGGAAGCAGAGAGTCTGAGCTAGGCTGAAATGAGGCAGATGCGTTTAACACAGAGATTAATTACCCGCAAGAACGAAGGTGGGGATTCTCTGTTTCCTTATGTCCTCCTGTCAAGGCTGGATGAGTTTCTGGAATGGATGCTTTCATCAGGCAGAAGTTACTGGGCTCAGGACAGGGGGAGTGGGTGGAATGTAATGGCCTTTGTTACAGAGGAGGTCACTTGGGATGATCTGATGGTGCCTTCTGGCTTTAAACCTGATGACTCTCTTCTTATGTTGCCTTGTTAAGCAAAACGCTTTGCCAGGAGGCAGCGCTCCCATTCCTTTCCGGATTATGAAAGAGGAGTGTTTACCTTTAATTTCTCAGCTGCCTGCAAAGTGTGCAACAACCAGCTCTCTTTATCTTCCTTTAGCTATCTAGGCCTATAGTTGCCCGATAGTCTCCTTTAGAAGTTACTGTTTTCAGATACATGTGATTTTACCAGGCTTTAATTGTTTGCATTAAAATTTTCCATGCTAAATCGCTGCATCAGGCTCCTTCTCCCACTAAAGCTGGAGAAACGCTCCTGCCCGTGTTAAATCCTTGCTCCTGTTTCACTGAGCAGCTTTGTGCTTTGGATTGAACTTTGGCAGGGACTCTGCTTGCTGTGGGGAATCCACCGCGTTTCACCGCCTCCGTGAAAACCTCACGCTCTCTTGACCGTGGGTCACGGGCCTCTGAAACTGCCTGCTTTGGCTCAGGAAAGGTGTTTCAGATTTTTGGCTGCCCGTACTCCAGTGCAAAGCAGCAGGATGGGGCGGGATGCAATCGCTTCTCCCACCAGGCAGTGGCAGCAGGTAACTCAGAGTCACAGCTCAGGTGGGTTTGGCCGGGACCTCTGGAGATCCAGCCCATCGCCCCGCTCAAAGCAGAGCCAGCTAGAGCAAGTTACTCAGGACGGTGGCCGGTGGGGTTTTGAATATCTCCAATGATGGAGACTCCACAGCCTCTCTGGGCAACCTGTTCCAGTGTTTGAGCAGCCACATAGTAAAACAAGAGCTTGAGATGTCGCTCAGGGTGAAGTGCTGCTATGGGAGGTCTCCGCTGGTGAGTCGTGCCAACCTGGTTCTGTAAGTTGTAACCTACACCCTTCCTCTCGCTGACAGAGCTGCAGCCGTCTTGGCCTGGCCAGGGCTAGTGTTAGAAATAAAAGCTGTTCCGCATCAAGCTGAGATTTCCACCAGTGGAGCTGTGAGTTATTATCAGTAGCATTTTTCTTTTGTGTGTGCGTGTTTCACTATCCACTGCCAAAGCGGAACCACTCTTCCGCCGTTCCTGCTCCGTGGATTGGAACCCGGCTATCGCTTCCTTGGCCAGCTGTTTTCGTTTCGCCATTGTCGTAATACAGTTATCTCTGTAGCCAGCGAGTTTCTCTCTGCCAGCTGATAAACACGGAGGTGTTTTAATTTCTCTGCTGTACGCATGACAGAGCAGGGTGCGTTGGCATGCCTAGGACTCACACCAGCGAAGTGACAGTCCTTCTCCTGCATGGTACCGAGCGGGCTGACGGCATTGTGTCCGTGTTCGCAGGTCCGGGCCTTTCGAAATTAGTGCTGATCTCGAAGACTCCATGGAGTTTGTGGATCCCAGTGCCACCGGCGAAACGGACGAGAGCGGAGATGAGCACGTCAGCGATGAAGAGACAGACCTAGGGACAGACTGGGAGAATCTGCCGAGCCCCAGGTTCTGCGATATCCCCTCTCAGCAGGTGGAGATGCTGCAGAGCCAGAGCACGCAGGTGTCTCAGCCCATTGCCAGCAGCAGCGCTGGCGGAATGATCTCGTCCGCTGCTGCCTCGGTGACCTCGTGGTTGAAGGCGTACACTGGACATCGCTAACGAGCACGGGAAAAGGATCATAGGATTTGTGGAAGGAATCCCTCCCCGACAATGCTGTAGTAAACCTTACCTATTCAGTTAAGTAGTGCCTGGAACAAAGAAAAGGTCAGACTTTCATTTTGTAAACCAGAAAAACCTTTTTATTTACCCAAGATGACTGTGATGGTACCGTTTTGTAAATTAGCTAGCTACGTACTTCTGACGGATTCTGTGACGGCACTTTGTGTCTTGGTTCTGTCAGCATTGTTGAGTATCGAAGAAAAAGGACCCGGTAGCCTCCAGCTCTGCTTTCGAAAGAAGAAACAGATTTGGGAGTATTTGGATCGAGATGAGTACAGAGAGAAGGCTGCTCAGTGCGCAGTCCGGACAGTGGTGCAAGTGCAGTTCACGTTTTCTTAACTCCTTACAGGGTTTTCGTTTGTGTGTGTTTTAAATCTGTCTTGCGTAATGCAAAAATGCGTATTTCTAAATTTTTTTCATTCAGGACATGAAAATTATGCATTTTTAACATGTTTTCTAATCTCTGTTGCCATATTTTTACTACAAAGAATCAGCATGGACAGGAATTCACACAGCAAATTGCTCTTATTTTAGATTCGGTTGTGAATCTTTACCCAGTTTTGCCGCAGAAAACTGGCTCGTTTCATGCCGTTTCCACCGGTAGGTAGTCTAGAAGTTTCGTGTTGTGCTGTCCAAAGCACGCAGGCTCTTTACTCTTAATATCATACACCAAAGAAACACTGGACGTTCTCTTAGCTAGACCCACATTTGACGCCGATAACAGGATTGCGTTGTTGCAATAATACTCATCAGTTACACCACCACGTTGCCACTTTTTAATATTAGAAAAACCTCATTTCAAGCTAGTTGAGTGAAGTCACACGGTCTCCACACTACATGCATTTTCAACCCCATTCTATTTTATGTTTATGGGGGGGGTGGTTTTTTTCTTTCCTTGTTTACTGGACGCCAAGGGGTTGATTTCGTTTCACCGCAGAAACGCTCACAGCGCAGCTGGCTCGCGTCTAAAACTGCAGGAGGTGCCGTGCTGACAGATGCGTTCGTTAACAAGCGCTCCGCCGCTTCCTCTGCCTCGCGGTGTGTATTACTTAAAGACGGGTTTGCTCAGTGAGACTTCCAACGTACGGTTTACATTTTATATGGTTGGGACATTGTACTTCTCCACGGGGTAAACCAATGGAGAAGCATCCTCCCATCCCTCCAGGAGGGAAGATTT